CCGGTCCCACCCCAGCCGGGCGACGCTCTCTCGTCCCCTGCGTCCACCTGAGCAGCCCTTCAGCGTTGCAGCCCTGCCAGCCATTGGACCGCTGCGGGGGAATAATCATGTCTCAAACTTTGTTTCCATGTACTTTCCCCCCTGCTTCGAGCCCCTCTAGCTTTCACCATCTACTCCGGAGTAGACCTCCAGGGCTAGTCTTGCCTCACTAGCGATCGACGGCCGTTCCTTCCAATTCTCCTTGTCCATCTCTGACCACCTCTAACCTGAACAAGGCGCCGCATCTTTGTCATGCCGCATGGAAGCTCGAGCATAGCACGCGCAATGCCTTTCATGCGTCGGCAGCCCGCTCCCGGCCTTGTCGTCCGCACCCAGCGAATGCGGCTGTAGATCCCTCAGCCTCATCTCACTTGCGAGGAAACAATTGCTTCCATTATGCCGCCTCGCGTCGCTGCGCCGGCCTTTCAGGTACAATTAATAGCGTGTTTCAGCGCTTGCCAATCCTACGCGAACTACCCGTCCCTGCTCTTGGCACAGGTGACGAAGCTGCAGCACCTCTGTGGAAACCGCAGTCAGAGAGGGGGCATCGACTGCAAGGCCGCCTCCACTACACGCGCAAAACTACCGAGCCCCTTGACCTTGCTCCTTTCCTGCAGACGCATCAAGCCACCGCCGCTGTGCGAGAGAACGTGATTGTTTCTAGCGCCCTCGACCAGCGCCATGTGGCTTTGGCTCGCCATCCACCACACCCCCCCTTTCTGCGAAATTGTCAAAACTCCTAAACCATCCATGAGTCTAGCATAGTCCCTCCCGCGGACGGTACCCTACTCCGGAATATATGCTCGCAATTCTCCTAGACGTCCGCTACCTGCTGGAACTTGCCATCAGACTACATAGACGCACTGTGCCTGAGTGATTCGTGTCCACGCGCGCAGGCGCACTACATCCCAACTAGGAAGTCCCATCGCCTAGACTCTCCCGCCACTTTTTATCCGTCTTTACATCAACAAGCATCATTGTACGTTGATTATATGCACCTCCAAGGTTGTAGCTAGGAATCAAACTTGAATGTGAAGCAAATGGTCCAAGACAGACAGCCTTGGAAATTGTGACCCCCACGTGACCGGCAGCTGACGCCCTTCGAGACGAGGCGGCATGTCAATACCATGCGTGCTATCAACTGAGCACATCCTGCGTGCCTTCCTCAGCCAGTAGACGACCCCGCGATGAGCAGCGTGTTGTGACTGTGCATCGTGGAACCTTGGAAATACTGAGACATGTCGTCATTATCTCCTACGTCGCTTCCTCATTGAGCGCCCATGCCTTATCTTCATATATTCCAACACTCACTTTGCTTCGCCCTGCCCGCCTCACTCCACTCGCCCAGAGAATGCTAACAGTGCAGACGGAGATGAGCGGAGATGCCAACCACTATGGTCCAGCGGCCTATCTTCGAGCGAGAGTCATAGCAACATCTCGAGCACATCCGCAGAATCTGCCGTCGCTACTGCCTTCCCACGGTAGTAACTGAGCCCCGAGCAGGCCGGCAATACAGTAAGTGTGATGATGCCCAACCGCTTGCGTACTAATCTTGTTATCCACAATGTAATAGCAGCCGGCTATTATAGATACTAAATTCGCGACTACGGGACCCATATGCACGACATGCCTTGTTTCTTCGCGGATCATGACCCCACTGCGGAGTTTGTCGTCGATTGTTGGAGATAAGCTGGCTGCTATAGTCACCGATATCATTGTGTATGGCTCTACGCATCGAGCTCTACCCCGAGGTCATGAAACAGGTACTTGTCCAGTACTATCCAGCACAAAAAGCGCGGCTGATGCCATTGTCTCTCGTCCTTTCCGCACTAGGACCGAAGGAAGATCAGGACCCACTATCGTTACAAGTTCCAAGTTGGCACACCCGAGCCACGAGTTCTTCAAGATACCATGGCTAGCTGCATACCGCCAACCCCGGTCCACCGTTCGTCTCAGAATCTGCAAAGCCGGCACGTGGCCGGGAAGTGGAGATGCTCGACGCAACTATGTCGTCAGCTCAAGACATGAAGGTAAGGCCGTTCTATACTCTGCTTGCCAGTTTTCGACGTTGCAAAGAGTGCGGGGTAGTACCAGCAATAAAGTTATCAGCGCCGTGTAGCTTTCCACTACTCCGAGACATTCACCGTCTTACACGTGCGCTACACGCGAGATGTCGGCTACTGCAACCTGGCCCCACGTCGAACTTTATTCTGACTGCATTCGGACACCGAGTCAAGATTACCAGCCGCCGTATTCGCTTCTCTTCCACTTCGCCACACATATTCTGTCCTTTTTGACAAATTGTCATTCCATTACGGCCCGTTTCCAATGCACCCGAGCCGTTGACTCCGCATTGTGGTCCTTCACTTACGGGAAACTGTTAGGGCCCGCGACGGGATGCGAGCAACCAATCGAGCATCTTCCAAACCGGGATGATAGCAACGGCTATCGGGTACGTCAAACTGCGATCGACTATGAACTCAATCGAGCTCAGTCTCATGCGAGTAGACAGACCGTCGATTTCCTGTAACGTCCGCTATAGCTACGCCGCCTACGTGGCCTTCTGACACTCTCAACGTCGAGCAAAATGTGGCATGAGGCTGTAACATCTGCTACACTACCAGCCAGTCAATACTTTCTAAAGTTAGCTCTTCTAGAACAAGCCACTTACATTCTTGGAGACGTCGGACACATCTCGGCTCGACCCGCCTAGAGACCTGACATTGCAGGACTACCCCCCTCAACATACTTCTCAAACCTCAACGGTAAAACCGTTGGATTCATAACCTTTTGCGGTTGCATGCAGCCAGAACAAGGCCGAGTTCTAGATTGATGCATGAACACAGGGAGTTGTCCATCTTAGGCTGCGGCTGCGGATGCAATGTCGAAACCCTCCGCGCAGTGCGGTCAAATCTACTGCTACCAGGATCTGCTTACATCACTAGATGCGTACATCACGCTCTTCAGATTACTAAAAGATGTAAGAGATGCGCTACAAATTATACGTACACGTCGGAACCATGAATGCGACGACGACCTAGCATCACCGGCACCTTGACGATCGAAACCAACTTCAACATGCATACAACATCAGACCACCATATCGACAATGAACCAAATCTTTGCTTGCTATGGATACTACGTTCTCACAACCTGAATTGTCAGACATCGTTCAGGCCTGCCATCAGCACGAGCACGGACACACCACACCGTCCGCTTAAACTCCCGTCAACCGTCTCCATCCACCAACCCACGACCAAAATATCTCATATACCGTACCCACCTACTCCAATCTCCAAATCTCCAAACCCTTTCTCTTTTAGCTTGCCTTTCGCAACCGCGTTCTCATGTCTGACCGTTTTTTTCCTGCTCCCCGTCGATCCAACGTTGGTTCCTGCCCAAAATGCACGCAAGCCAACGACGAGTCATGCAACTGCATCTCGCGTCTGCAGCCCGCTGAACGTGATCACACCGCTGCGTTCCCCGCACAGCCGCAGTAGACTCGGTGCGAAGAGTATGATTACAGTAAGGTGTTGACATTTTTTATGCGAACGAATTCCTTTGCCGCGATGCGCATGAAACATGTATAATTGATCGGTTATTGCATAACGGTTTTTATGTATTGTAGATCCGGGGTACTTGATCGAAGGGGACGACGATCGGAGAATATGGAAGTGGTTTTTGGATGATGGAGGGGAGGGTTTGGATTGTTGTATGGATACGAGGCTCGATGGGGCGTTGAAGGATGTCGCATTGTGTACATGCGACGACCGAAGATTAGTAAACGTCGCATAGTAGGCATGTACACTACATCTCAAATTATCACTCGACGTTAGGACTTCAAATCGCAAAGAAACAAAAGGTCCAATACTTCAGAGTGAGAGGATGTGTGTAAAACACACTTCGTCGACAATCTTGATGTAGTGTTTCGTTCTACCTTATGATACAGTTCCGACATGCTCTTCCAACGAGAATCTTCTTCGACGTTTATCCAGCGATCTTGGTTTGCGTTACCATACGGAAACAACAACGAAATCAGCATTATGCCCTGCTCAGTGCCGCAATCTACAGAGGCTTTTCCTGTTTCATGGGAAACTCGAAGGATGACACGGACAGGAATGTTATAGATCAAACCAATTGACCAGAATGCTTGGCTTGACTGGCAAGAGGGCTAGAAGCAAGAAAGCTTGATTGAGAGGCTTGACTTGCTGACGCCCTAAGCTTCATTGGATGGGACGACTTGTTAGCAGCAGGGCTAAAGCATGAGAAGAATAAGGAAACGGTAAGCTTCTCTTCCTGCTCTACTCTTCATTGCTGGACCTTCTATCCTTCCCTTTATATTAGACAGTGAAGGGATCTGAACAGGTGCTCTACCGTCTACGTTGATATAAGAATAAGGGTTTCTCCAACTTGAACGCATTGATGGCTCCCAGGCTCCGTGACTGTTGTGCCTGTTATCTTCCGTAGCTCAATGTGTTCAGCATCTCCCTTCAATGGGGTAACTCCCGAGGTCTCTAATTTCTATCACGTAGATAGCTGCCGATCTAGTCTATCTCACTAGTGCTACCAGTCGATCTGGAGTCTTCAGAGTGGCTTTATGGTTGAAACCCTTCGGTCCTGTTAATACGGCTCGATGGGTTCGTCATTGACTCTTCTTCTATATTCAGCTGGGACCATCTTCTCGGTCACATCATCAACAGGAGAAACTTGCACAGTCATAGCTAAGAGTTAAAGATCGCACGTGTTCTAGCTTTGAATATTGGGGTAGTATCCATACACAGGCTGGACTATGTCATTTGCCGTTCTTGTGGCCAGACTTCCCGGCAGATGGCTACACAAGCTTGATTGGTATAATGCGAGGTCTAAAGCTAAGTTGATAGAGTTACTTGATTTAACTCAAGATCTGAAGCACGACCGGTAAGCTCGATCGAAATGAAAACCAAACCCCACACAGATCCACCTCATGCGGAGGATTTGCGAACCTTCCTTTTCTTTTTCGGGTTGTCGCCTCCTTCATCATGGTCGAGAAGAAGAAACCGATACAATTTGAACGTCCTGCCAGTGATAGGGAAGACAGTGATGCTACCTTCCCAGGTTTTGACAAACGTGCGGTATCCATAAGGCAAAGCTTCATTGATCTTTTCGATAGCCCAAATTGAAGTGAGGTTTTCGAAATCGACGTCTCCGTAGAGCTCATTAAAGTCGACGACGAATTGGCGGACCGCAGTTGGCGTCCTTAGGTCAAGAGAGCTGATCACTACACGAGCGCGGTCTGCCAGGATGTTGTTAGGCGTTTCGTCGTTCATGTGGCTGATAACGGCCTTCAACGCGGATGCTGGCGAGTTGGTGTCTCTGGCTTCCTTCCACACCGATGGTTCGACAGCAGCGTGGATGAGAGCTAAAGCCGAGCGAGAGGCGTGATCATAGTCTTTCCATTTCTGTAGCTGGAATTGGTAGACGGCGACCTGGTACTGCCAATCCACTGGAGGAGCCTCTTGTACCACATCATCATCGTCTTGTTGGAGTGCGAGAAAGGCGGGCGCAATGGGCTTTGCGACTACTTCAACGTTGTCTTTGAAGTATTCAGCGTAGCCGTGAATTTTTGCAATGTCTTTGAAACGCTGGAACCAGTCGGTGAAGTTCTCGGGCCCAGAAAGCTTTGTGAAGTTATCGCCTAGGGCGATGGTTGGATCGTTGATGGCGGCCATAGTTGACAGTGGTAGTGGTTTGGAGTGAGACTGCGGCGAACTTGTGCGCTTATAGCCTGCTGTGGGTTAGTAGTGAGTAGCCTGGTCTGGTGACTGTTGCTGCGAGTGTGGTTAGTCGCGTGAGTATGACGCAAGTCCTGGCGGTGTTTACCTAGTTAGCACCCCAGTGGAGGTTCGACGGACTGACCATACCAGACGGGACGAGATGAAGTGGCCTCGTAGACCGCTTTGACAGACATACTGGGTAGGTAGCAACCTGCTGACTTCACTACTATGTCCGGTCAGCAGAAGATGGGTCAAGTTCACCAACAGCAGAGAGAGGCAATGTAGGTAGATCATATGTATTTCAGAACATAAGGAGAAAGTGGTATTATCCTAACAAAACAACAAATTACAAGCAGACATACACAAGAGCCATCTGCCCATCTGCCTAGCGCAATGGAAGAAAAAGACAGCTCCCTTGGAGAATACAATCCTCCCAGAAAGCGCTTTTCCACCACTACCGATTCTTAGGCTCTGATACCCACATACTGGAGTTGCTTCCATCCATCCATCTTTGTTCGGGTATGATCCACAACGACGACAACAACTCTTCTCATTGAAACATAAGGAATGACCCAAAAGTACACAAGGGGGGTCGTCGGACAAGGGGGTGTTCTCAAGGAGAGTAACGAAGTGCAAAGCAAGAAAATAGGGTCCCTAGCCGTTCAACGCCGGGGGTAGGTAACATGGTAAGGAAAAGGGCATCAATGCTAATCTCGTTTCGATCGCTAATGATAAAAACAAAGTAGAGGAAGAATGGCGGCAAGCCGCGGCGACGACTAGCTTATCGCATGTTGTGGCGTACAGCGGTGTTGGGGCGCTGCAGTGGTTGCGCGTACTTGGACACAGGAACCATGTGAGCGTCGAGATCGTTGTTACCGTCTACGTCGTCATCGTCTTCGATGATGCGTGTTGGTACGACGGGAATGTCGTGCGATCGGTGCTGTAGGCTCGTCCGGTCTGGTGTTGTGCTGGCACTGGCCATGGACATGGAGGTGCTGGACCGATGGCTTAGATCGGGCGTTGGGGGGATGCTTGAACCCCGGTTGGGGCGGAGCATGTTGTCCTCGTCGCCGTATTCGCTGCCAATAGTCGATTGCGCGCGGCCTCCGGCCGATGACATCTGACCAACGCTGCTGCGGCGGTCGCTGTGGTTGTCGCCATCTTCTGTGTCAGCACGCTGTGCGAGCTGAAGACCCTCAACAGCTGCAGCGCACTGCTCTGAGATGTTGCGGATGATGTAGGCAATGGCGTCGGTCTTGTCCCGAAGGACACGGTCGGCGACGTCGACCATTGATTGATTTGAGAAGCGCTTGGAGTTGCGTGCGGGGTTGTTGAATAAACGCTGCTCCATGTCGGGTGTAACGTCCTCACCGTCGAGGTGCTTGCCCTGCGCAGTGCTGGCTCTTGACTCCTGGCGGCTCTCAACACCGGCTACGCCGCGGATGGTGCCGACCTCAGACTTGTCCTTGATCGAGTGACGGGGGGTTTGATGGCGCGACGCCGCGTCTTCAAACTCCTCCTGGTCCTCATCCTCCTCAGGCACGTCTTCGAAGCCGGCATCCATATAGTTGGACATGTCATCCTGGTTAAGGGACTTGACGATGTGCTCCATGTGGTGGGTCTGACCCTCGATAAGAGCACGAAGGTGGAGCACAACCCGTTGCGCTTCGTCGCGCTGGCGCTGGATGGCGCCGTTGGTATGTTGCAGAGCACCAAGCTCCTTCTTGTTCTTCTTCCTCTCGCGCTCGAGCTCCTCAGCAATCTCTTGCTGTAGTACAAGCGCTTCGAGGGCGTCGTCACGTTGCTTCTCAGTACCGGACAGACGGACAGTGAGCCTTGCGGCATCATCCTTCTGTTGGTCGATAAGGCTTGTAAGACGACGGTTCTCACGCTTGTGGTTCTCGATCTTGACCTTGAGATCCTGGGTCTCCTTGGTGAGTTGCTCGGCGAAAGCCTGGAACTTGAGGAACTGTTGTTTCCAGCTCTCAAGCTCCTCGACCAAGAAGTTGTTGCGCTTTGTAACCTTGCCGAGCTCGCTGTCGAGGCGCTGCTTGAGGTTGATGAAGTCTGTCCAGGCTTCTTGTGCGTCACGGGAGTACTGGTTGCGCTCGCGAACGATCTCGTTGAGGTGGCGCATCGACACCTTGGTCATCAGCGGCTTCTTGACAGAGCCACCGAAGATAGCCTTAACGCCAGTGTTGCGGCCCTGCGGTGATGTTAGCGTGTGGTACGATGAGTCTATGCGCAACCGGATACATACCAATTTCTCACACACGTGGTCCATGACCGACATGACAGCATCCTGGGTCCACCAGTCGGGGTCCTGGATGCTCTCAACCTCACCACGCATCACAATGATTTGACCCGCGGGGATGAGCTTGCCGCCCCCGTACGCCGAGCGCAGATGCTGTGGAACTCCGGTTGGTGAAACCTCACCGTTGAGAGCCTGAGTCAGACGCTGGATCATCTTGGTCCTCTGGCCGGCGGTAAGAGCGGTAGGCGGGCTTGAAGTCAGAACAAAGTTCCGGTCCAAGTCGACGACAAGGGCATCTGTGGGAGCCGTGAAGAGCGATCGGCACTCTGACGTTACACCCAGAATGTATGGGCCCGGCTCCTGCACGAGATCCTTGACGTGACGCGCATGAACGACGGGTACATACAGACCGCTCCACTCGTACACCCTGACACAGAAACGGACTGTCTCGGCTGCGATGGTGAGCATCGCGGGGTAGTGACTGGTGAAGATGATTCGTCGTGTGGGCGATACAGCAGCCTCTATCACACCCACAATGTTGGGAATTGAGAGACACGTGAAGAGGGGCCACATGGCGAAGTTTTGGAATCCGGTAGGCGAGGATGGGAACTGGTAGCACAGCGCGTAATCCTTCATGTCGATGCGGACCAGGTCGTTGAGGCGAGGAGCTGGGAAGCTGAGGATGCGCGAAACCTCCTCGGCATGGAAAAGGTTGGTAGCCTTATTCCAGTGAATCCACATGCCGCGAAGGTAGTCGCCGAGTAGGTTGTACAAGGGGTATCGGGAGAGGAAGCTCAGGCAGTACGGGATCCAGTAGGTCTCATCTGGGTTGTCGAAGAAGTCGGGCTCGATTCGCTTGCGCAGGTCGCGAATGGTCTCAGCGCGCTTCTCATCAGCGCGAGACCAGACGCGCAGTGCGATACCGTAAAGAGTGTGTGAGGAATCTTGCTGCAGGACGAAGGAGTGGTGTACGCAGTGCGGCTGGCTCCTGCCAGTGCAGATCTCGACGTCGTGGGGGAAACATGCCTGTGTGCGTGGTTAGTAGCGCGCCAACAATGACATTGTTGTATAGACGTACTCGCATGGCAGCATGAAGAGACCTCGCGATCTCGTTATCCTGCTCCAGTCTTGGACTGCTTCCCAGAATCTCAGGAAGCCAGAAGGTACCAACAGCACCCTTCATGTGGCCAATCTTGCCCTGAGAGGGCGCAGGCGCCTTCACCCATTGTGATGGCTCGCGACCCACACCACACACCATGTAGGCATGGGTCAGTGTCTTGGGGCTCCTCGCGCCTTGCTTGACGTTCAAAGTCGATGGAAGCGGTTGGGTGATCCTCGAATGAAGCGATGATGTCCGGCTCGGGATGATGAGGCTGTGGTCGGCATTGTCTCTCGTGGGAGGACGCTCGCTGGCGCCTGTACGCGGTCGCAAACTTAAAGAAGGTGCCATGTTGGCGGATTCGATGTCGGTCCTATCGAGATGGCCGTTGCGGTATGGGTGTAGAGAACGGCAAGCGGAAGAATCCAGCAATTATTATGACAGCTATAACTGTGCGAACATGAGGCGATGCGTAGAAGGTATCCGAAAGGCAACCCGCGAGAACAAGAGAGAGCGGACCGTGAGTACTATACGCACTCCGTCAATTGAGAGCTCCGAGGTCACCTTGCTGCGGGCAGTTGAGGAGGGTAGCAGCAAGGGGGAATCATGGCTTTTGGGGAGCTCTGCCGCAGCGCGCGGACTGGATGCTGGGGGTTGAACGACCCGAAGACTAGCATGGGTGGCTTTCACAAGTTTCGGTTCGAGGAAATGAGAAGCATATCCCTGCCCATTCGCAGGGTCCGTCTCGGAGCACGGTGCACGGCGCTGTCAGGGGCACTTTTCTTGAATAACGGCTCGCCCAACTTCCTCGAGCGGGCGCGACGGCAGCAAGGGCCGCAATCAAAGATACGGCTTATACACAGTACATTGTTATGTCGCCTCGCTCTTTGCACTGTTGCAACGTTTTCCTGCAGCCACGTCCAGCAACCGGAGCTCTGGTACCACGACTCGGTCACCGAGAGTCCGCAGCGGCCTCAGCAGAGAATCCCCGCTGGTGGCAATAGCGCCATACGGACTGGCCTTATGCTGAATACCGCATTGGGTTGGATTCGAATCATTCGCACGCCTTGTGCACGATGAGCACGTCTGCAGCGTGCATCCTCGCATCAGCATGCATGAGCAGAGTTCCCGCACTTGCAGCTCGGACGGACCGCGAATGGAAGTGCTTAGAAATTGGCGAGGCAAACCCCTGACGGCTGTTGGCTATCGGTGGCTGCCCAGCAGGCGGTACATGAAGATCGCTCTTAGGCCCGCCGCCAGGCACGTTTGATCCTGCGTGGGAGTGCGAGGCCTTTCTGCAGAAGGTCCAAGACGCGCCGTCGAGCTGTCGACCAGATTCTTCGATCGGCTCCACAGTCCGGTAAAGGTGGTGGCCACGTACAGTGGCCTCGCGTGTCGTGGACCCTCTAGAACCAGACTTCTGAGCTGTCCGTTGAGAATTGCGGAGAGCTGGAATTGGTGAGGCTGAAACACCGGGCACTCAAGCTGCCTGGCAAATCGGGCGCCTTCGCCCAGGTTCGGTCAAGCTGACATGGACAAGACGTGTTGCAGCCGGACAGAGCGAGAACGACTCGATTGCCTCTCAACAGCTGTAGACGAGCG